GAGACCCGTTGAACCCTCTTAGAGTTGTTTTCGAAGGCTGAACAATATATTTATATTGCTGTATTTTTTCTGTTTTTGTGCGTAGGTGTGAGTTCGACGCAAACTTAAGGACGTGGTTGTGTAAGTAGCACCAGGGGGCGAGTGCGTGCGTTATTTAGCGTTAACGGAATGGTTTTGATGCTGATTTTTAGCTAAAATAATTTAATTGAGCATGTAGGGATTGTTAGTTTTGATTTGTGAACTTCTAGTGATTTTGTTGCCGTCTTTCTATTATTGAACACTTATGAGGAAACATGCTTTCTATTCTTATTGTTGTAGGTGACTAGTAGATTCTGAATTGTTGTGGTTAGAAGTAACTGGCTCATGACGTTTTGCAAATATGTTGTAAATGAAGTGCTCGCGTTGTTAAACTGATAATTAGTTTATATTGTTTTAGTTGTGAGCTGTTGGGTGTGACTTGTTTATTACCAGGAAAAGCATGCTTGTGAACTGTGCAGTGAATTGGAATGTGGAAAATATACTTGTAGGTGGTCATGGGAGGGTTAGTGAAGTGGTGAAGGGTGAAGGGTGAAGGGACGGGTTGGCAGTCCGTTAAACTATGGGTGGTCTGATCTGAAAATGCATATAAATCGCTTGGAGGTTCAAAGCCTTGGGTAGTTGCCTTGGGAATGAATGACAAGGCCGACGTCAAATTTCTGTAAATGAGTATTGGGGTCTTGGGGATAAATGTCAAGGACCAATACGCTGGGAAGACATCGGTACCTTGGGCATAAACGGCAAGGACCGGTGCACAGTTCAGGCCTTGGCAATAAATGGCAAGGTCGAACATCAAGTTTCTGTAGAGGAGTATTGAGGCCTTAGGGATAAATGTCAAGGGTTAATGCGACTCGAGGAGTTAGGCTTGAAGGACTAAAGTGGAGTGGTGCTTGCGAAGTAGTGGTGCTAGGCCTTGGGAATAAATGGCAAGGTCGAACATCAAGTACTGTAAAAGGAGGGGGGCGGTATCTTGGGAATAAATGTCAAGAGTCGTCATGCCTCGAGAAGTTAAACGGGGAGTACCACAGGGGGTGTAGAGGGAGGTTTAGTACTGTGGGACAAGGGCTAGTAAATCATTGGTTGTTGTATGTAAATGTCAAGTTATTGTTTTTTTATCTCTCGCTGTCTATTTAAATTGCCTTGCTATCGTTTTATTTTATATGCCGTGACTGTGAGCATGATTTTTGTGTTAGTTAGGAAGTGCTACTTACGGAGTACCTTATGTACTCACCCCTTTTTTATCCTTATTTGTTTTCAGGTGTGAACAGGGTCGACCGCGGTGATGACGTGGAGAGGGCTTGACCGAGGAGGGATCACTAGTCGAGTTAGTGAGGATAGAGGGAAAGGTCGTTTGGTACGAGTAGCGTTGG